AATTCATAAATGTTGACTATTATATTTAATTATCAACACCGTTGCACCAACAATCTTCTTTTTTTTTAGATACACATAATGGGGCACTAGCTTTTAAAAAAATAACTGGCAACATAATGTTCTAACCCACAGACATAAACACCAGTGTGGTGATGGTCAGAGGAGGGGTGGGTAGGGGCTGGGTAGAGGTGGACAAAGAAGGGGAAAATGGGGACATTTTTACTGTCAACAGTAAAAATTGTTAAAAATAAAGTAAAAAATGGAAATATAAAAGTAAGGAATTATTTTATTGTGATCTCTAAAACAATTGAATTCTTTTAAATTTCTTTTTGTGTGTATGAACATATTTTAAACTGAATTGTTTAGGTTCCTCCATTACTGCTATGAAAATAAGCATCATTTATTTTCTTGAGAAAAGAAACCACTTTTGTTACCTGTAGTAAAGACTGCATTAGTAAATTATGATTTTTTTTATTTCTAAACTTTTCAAAGTAAAAATAAAACTATGATCTAGTAAATATTTTTCTGTGTGTCAGATGCCATTTGAGGTACTTTAAACGGGCTGTCTCACTTAAGATTCACACCACCCTTCTAACATGGGTATTTTATAGAATAAAAAAACTCAAAAACCATTCCATAGTTTATTAACACACACGTTGCTAGTAAATAGAAAAACAAGAGTTCACTTTTTCCAATTGCAAAGTTTACATTTTTAGTGACTATCTTCAATTTCCAACTGCAGTTATGCAACATTGAAAAAACTGAACAGTGACCCACAAATTGTCATGCAACACTAGACTTAAATTAAATTTTTCAGATGTCGAACATATAATTAGAATGGTGCGTGAGCCTGAACATGGCACAACAAGCGGGTCCCTCATATTGCTCACATACTCGGACAAAGAGAGTAAAGGGAAAAGTCACCGTATATGGGGCAGAGGGCCTTCTGCCTTTATCATCTCCTTGCCTCTCCATGATGTTAATTTGAAATGTTCTCCGGGACTCCCATCTCCCCTCAAAGCCAGATTGTTAGCTGTTCTTATAAAACCTAACCATATTTCACTTTGACACTTTGATGTCACTGGGTCCTCTTTGCTTATATAACTGCCTTGGTTTTAGAACCTGAACAACCCTGGGGCATAATTTTCTCATGTAAATTGAGACTTGGAGAAATCATCTCAAATGGGCATTAAGGTGTGCGATTATTTACATAACAAAATACCAGCACTTTATGTTTAATTTCATTATGTACAGACCAAACTAAGTACCAAGAAAGTCTGAGGAAAAAAGAGGCTTATAAGTATATACTCACTCATGATTCTTTATAGATTGCACTCTAATTTACTGGATGAGGTCAAATTATGTAGAAAAAATGGGCATCTCTGAACTAATACATAAATGAGAAATAAAATTGAGAGAATATGAGGAAATTATACACAAGCATAAAAACTATATATTACATTTATCAGAATCCTTATATTCTAGATGTATTTTTTAATTTTATGTTTCTAAAGCAAATGTTTTTTAATGTGCTAAAATAATTTCTTTTTTAACATGTATTGTTGTTCAGTTACAGTTGTCCCATCATTTTTCCCACTGCTCTCCCTTCCCCTTCACCCTCTATTCCTAGAGTCAATCTCCCCACCCCCCTATTGTTCATGCCCATGAGTCCTCTATTCATATTCTTTTGCTTGTCCCTTCCCCCTTTCTCCCCTGCTATTCCCCTTCTCCCTCCCCTATGGCCACTGCCAGTTTGTTCTTGATTTCAATGTCTCTGGATATATTTTGCTTGTTTGTCTGTTTTGTTGTTTAGGTTCCACTTTCAGGTGAGATCATATGGTATTTGTCTTTCACCACCTGGTTTATTTCACTTAGCATAATGCTCTCCAGGTCCATCCTTGCTGTCACAAAAGGTAGGACCTCCTTCTTTCTTTCTGCTGAGTGGTATTCCATCATGTAAATGTACCACAGTTTTTTGATTCACTCATTTATTGATAGGCACTTAGGCTGTTTCCAGCACTTGGCTGTTGCAAATAATGCTGTTTTGAACATTGCGGTGCATATTTAATAAATGCTACACACGTAAAATTAAGTCAAACAGAAGTAAATACCAGATAAACCTCAGCTATATCTTTTCCTGTTAATGTCAGTACAGAAATTTTAGTATTGGGTGACAGTCTTTGATTCAAATAAAACATTTAAAAACAAGTTATACAGAAAGAGTGCTGTTCCTAGAACAATTCAGTCTTCACTTAAGGTGAAAAGAATGGAAGCAAAAATAAATCAGAGAAAATATTAGAAAGTCTAATGTTTTAAGTATTTCTATGCAAGAATAATTGCTTCAATTTTAATTGAAAGTAGACCACAAATCTGTTGTAGGTACATAAGAAATACATTTTATTTACAGGACAATGTCTTCAAAATGATCCATGGCATTGACCATAATGATGATGAAGCTGCTATTACCAATGCTATATTAGTTCTCAATGACTGTGCCTTGGTCCTTACATGTATTTCCACCTAAATGTTTATACACCAGTTGATAGGATGAGAATTTTCCTTATTTTACAAGTATCTGCAGCTTTTTGTGCCACCCAACTGGGAGGAGCAAGCATCAACTTTGGGGCCAAACTCTTTGAAATCAATCATGTTCTTCACTAATCTTGGACACCACCAATGATGGATTATTATTGTTTTTTAAATCAGCCTCTTCATTCTATGTTCAGACACAAAAAGAATATGGAAACTACAGAAGGAAGGGAGAAAATGCAAACATTTTATATTACTATACCTGGAGACAATGGGAAGAATGTTGATTTTGATACTTTGACTGAGGGAGTGGAATTTCAGGGATGAGCCCTGCTGCCCTGACCAATGGCCGGCATACAGTTCTAGAGGCTGCACAGAACTATATGCACCTGCCCAGTAAGAAGCTGAATAACATGGCTATCAAGTACACTTGAATGCCTTCATTCCTGAGAAAAACCAGGTTTCCCTTAAGAAGTGATTGCTGATAGTAAGGAATTAAAATTGTGTAAAGACATGAAACTTGAATTCAATTAGTCTGTTGCTGTTGTTGATCATTTTATGAAGCAGGAAGGCACAGAGAAATGCCAGAGGAGCTGTGTGTATTTCTCGGGTGAGGCACCAAGATTCTTCAGGTGTGGATTTCTTTACCTGTAAAAAGAGAGACTGTCTATGATGTTTCCATGTGTCTTGTGTGTGATATGTGAGAAAAGGCATGTGTATCTGTTCATGTGAATATACATTCAGAAGACAAACTGAGGTGAATAGAAACATCATGTTTCTCTGTCAGAACTTCTTTAAAAACTTGAGAATTCATTCAATTCCCAAAGTTCTAAAAGTACCTGCTGGTAGAATATCTGAATTTTTACAAATTAAGTGCAAGAAGACAAAATGACTACCCAGGATTGCAAACTTCAAACTGTCCTTGTTACAACTGCAACTATCACAGTTTCTTTCTAAAATAGTAAAATAATAAAATAATATTAAATCCCGAATTCATTGTTAATGAAATGTCAAAATAAAAGCACATCAAATTATCGATTTTTTTAAATTTCATGTCATGATCCTGTAAGACTGATTGAATAAATAAGAGGCACCTAAGCTTATTTCTATTTGAATATGCAAATACATTGAATTCATTTATTTAAAAACAATTTGTTACAAATCCTGTTCTTGAAATTACATTTAAAATTCAGATAATGACTATTAAAGTCTAGATAATCTGCATTATAGTACCCCTACATTATTAACAGCCACAGTGTTAGGAAAACAAAATTCAGATAGCCTTGAATTTGCATTTAGAATGTTCATACAGGTAGTTATGTGACCTTAGTCAATTTATAAATAATTGAAGCCCAGAGGTGAAACCTCAACACATCTATGTTTTTTTAAAAAAATTTACTAAGACTCCTGGATTAAGTGCCAGGCAGATAATAAAAACCTAACCAAGTGTGAACTTACTTCAAGACTGATTATCTTTGAGTGCTTAATGAATTAAACTTTAATTACATATAGCACACATTTATATAACAAACATTAACTTAGCACTTATTATCACAAAATATTTTTCTAAGCATTTCATAAATATTAACTTCCTTAGTCTTCAAAAGAAACCAATGAGTCAGGTCCTCCTGTTACTGAATGCAGGTTCTGCTGCCTGGTGCAGTAAAAGCTGAACTTCTGAGACAAGTGCTGGTGAAGAATAAATGGACTTATTCATGTGCCAGCCACCTGAGAAGACTGGGGAGTGTTGTGCCAAAGCCCATCTCAATATCTCAGTGAAGGCAGAGGTTTTTATAAGGAGGTAGAGGGGAACAGGACAAAGGGATAAAGTGTAGGGGGTTGAAAAGTCCTCCATGTGCAGACAAGCACAGCCCAATCCAGAAAGAACCTCAAAAGTGGTCAAGCAATGGTCTGGTTGTGTCATCCTGGTTTTACAGTTGAACATCAGCAAATCTTCCAGAGTTGGGATGACTCAAGGTTGGAGTGTGTATCTTCTGAAGTTTGTTCCTAGAATTCTTACAAACATGCTGCTTATCTACAAGTGGGATGGGTTCCAATTCTCCACTGAAACACTATTATTTTCTAAAACTGGGGAAAGATTCACAGAGTTCAAACCAATTGTCCAAGGTTGCACAGCTAATAAAGGAAGGAGGTGGAATTCAAACTCAGGCAGTCTTGGTCCCAGAGTCCTGAGTTCTGACAAAAACACGCCACTGCTTTTGCTTGAGATCCCCAAGTGTGTCTGTGAGTGTTCCTGTGTTTGAACACAATCTCAGTGGTCTCTAAAGGCCAGACAAGTGTCTGAATCATACTGAGCTTCCAGGGTTGGCCTACATCTTTGGAGAAAATGTCAAGGTCTGTCAAAGCAACAGTCACATTCTCAGTTTTATACTGAAAGAAATACATGAAATGTCAGCAAAAGAGAGTCTGATGACCTTCCCTTTTGACATTTAATAAAGCATTTATTCTTATCATTTTCTTAATTTTAATATTTTGAAGGTTTCACATCCTTTACTCAAGACTTTCTTGGAGGCACCTTTCACCTCTTTGTTTCTGAGGCTGTAGATGAGAGGGTTCAACATGGGAATCACCACCGTGTAAAATACAGACGCCATTTTGTCCGTGTCCAGGGAGTGGTTGGATTTGGGCTGCAGGTACATAAAGATCAAGGTGCCATAGAAAATAGTAACAGCCACCATATGGGAGCCACAGGTAGAAAAGGCCTTGCGTCGCCCTTGGGTGGAGCGCATCCTTACAATGGCGGTGATGATAAAGGTATAGGAGATGAGCACAATGGAAGAAGAACAGATCACATTAAACCCAGCAAAGGCAAACATCATAATCTCCTTCATGTGTGTATCTGAGCAGGACAGAGCCATGAGGGGGATGTCATCACAGTAAAAATGATTGATGACATTGGGGCCACAGTAAGTTAGACGGAAGGTGAGAATGGTATGGAACAGGGCAACCAGAAAACTGTATATGTATGGAACTGCCACCAGCTGAACACAGACCCTTTTGGACATCACTGTTGAATAATGCAGGGGACTACAGATGGCCACGTAGCGATCATAGGCCATAGAGGATAGAAGGAAATTCTCAGTGATCACTAAGGTGAGAAAACAACCCAGTTGAATGGCACAGGCATGGAAAGAAATGGTGTTATGTTGCACAACAAAATTCACCATCATCTTCGGTGTGATAGCAGAAGAGTAACAAAAGTCAACAAAGGCCAAGTGACTGAGGAAATAATACATAGGTGTGTGGAGTCGAGCATCAGTTTGGATTAAGGTTACCAATCCAAGGTTACCCAGCACTGTGACCAGATAGATGACTAAAAACACCACAAAGCATGGGGCCTGAAGCTCTGGCCGGTCTGTAATTCCCTTGAGAATAAATTCAGTGACATAAGTGATGTTAACTTCCATCGTTTATTGTGGCAGGTGTTGTTGCAAGTTGAAGAATAAAAAGGACACTTGTCACGGCCCCAGCCAGCTTTGGGGAAAGGTGATCACTTGTGTCTTCTCACCTTAAATCATGTCCTCCTGTGGTCGGAAATGCACCTCAGCTGTCTAATGACAGGGGAGACTGGCCCAGGGAGAGGAGTCTTTTACTCTCAAAATTGTCTTCTTAACACCTATTTTGCTTTGTATTTTTAGAAGATAAGCAAGGACATTGGTTAAAAGTTGAATACTATCTGAAAACAATCTCATGAGGCAACTAACACTAATATTTCAGTGTTTTTGTTGAAACTATATTTATGCATTTATAAATATGGCAGCACAATAATGTGCAATTCATAAATGAAAGTATATGATTTCCTTGTGTTTCAATTTTGTGCATTTTCCCACAGCTTTAAAATATACCAAAATAATCTGACTTACCGACTTGTCTATATCTCATTTCCAGTTATATAGATTAAGTACTTTATACTTTATAAGTTAAAACAATTAGCTTGTTATAAATATGTGAAAACATACAATTTTATTTACATAGGAGACTTATGATTTCTGTTCAATTCAAAAGCCACATTTTGAAACTGGTTGCCCAATGAGTTAATCACATAGTTTATCAGTTTGCTAATTATTTTAAATTGCATGTAGACAAACATGTTTCTCCATAAATATGTCAGTGTTTTTCAAGGGCTTCAAATTTCCAAAGCACTTACTCTAGTAGGCTGAACTTTTTAGTAAACACATCCTAAGGAAATATCCAGTTGTGAGCACAATTGTATGGAAATATGAATATGTAGGTGAAGTTCTTGATGGGTGCTTCAAAGTAATTGTAATTATTTGTTTTTTCTGCCAGCCCTGAAAAAGAGGATTAGTCACATTAAGCCCCCATTGGCCTCTGTGAATTTTATTGTGGCTCTTGCCTTAATTTTTCACAGAAAAGATCCACAAAATATGAACAAAGAAAAGGTTTGAGAGGTCATCATGTTTAATTCTTTCACATTTCTGATTTTATTTACAATACTATTATTATTTCTGTTGCACAGGAATGCAAGCACTCAGTCATAGGGAAGAAGAAAATGGTCATTTGGGAAACCTCCTCTCTCCTGTCCTCTACTTAATTAGTTAAGGTGTTTCCTGATTCACTCACAGTCTAGCATTATTCGGGACCTGCCCTGTACTTTATTAGGGTCTACGTGGCTCCTTCAAGCCAAGCATCATGCACTCCAGGGTTCACCAAGCTGGGCTCTACACCAGAGCTCACCAGTAGCCTGCAGAGGCTCACGGTCTGCCACCAGCATACTGTAGGTGTGCAGACATGTTGACTTCTTCAACTGGCAGATGCCCCCTCTGTGCATCCCACACAAACACAAGTGACACAGCATGATACCGAAAAAAGGTTGTGAAGTACTGATTTGACTTTGATCACCTTAGATCCCTATTTGAGGCCAAACATTTTTTCTGAGAAGCAATGTTAGAGAAAGCAAATATCAATAGATTTATGTTTTATTTCAAGACTCAAAAATTATAGTGAGTATCTATTCCTTTCCTAACAGAAAAACCTTTCATGTTATGCTTGGGGTTTTCCAAAGGCCAAGGATGGACTTTAAAAACCACTGTTTCTGGCACTTAAGTGTAGAGCTACTCATATATATCTTCTCCTTCATCAACCTTTCCCCTAATGGTTTTAGCAGCCATTAACGTTCTTTGCCTGAATTGATTATTTCAACAGGCATTGGAAAGTAGTGTTTGCATCCTTCTCATATTGCACCAAGGCATTTTATTTGAGTGAAATAATAAAAAGAAGAGTAAATGTAAAGCCATTCTTGGTAACTCACCCTCAAAAGAAAATTTTAGACAGGAAATGTTATCTGCCCTTTTATTTCTCCTTCACAGCCATGTAGTACCTCTGGGTTGTGGGTACCACTGCAGGAGGGAGGGTAATTCTAAGAGGTTATCTGACGAGCGAAATATGAGGACGTTAAAGACGTGTGTGTGTGTGTGTGTGTGTGTGTGTGCTTGTAAGAGAGAGGGAGTTGGAGATCGATGGAGTAGCAGTATAAGTTACAAATAGAGATCCTTTACAAAGTATTATAAAGCAGAGAGTATGAGAGTGAAAAATTCATTTATGATATTAGAGGTATTATCTCCAAGAGCAGACTGATTCCATTTAACACCACAGCTCATCAAGGAGAGAAGTTTCTAATGGGAAGCTAGGGTAGAGCGGAGGTGTGGCAACCCACTCAGTAGACAAACAGCACACAAACTCCATATGACTCACCTGCTTAGCCATGATCCTTGCTTCCTATGAGCTCATTCTGTAGTTGTTTGGGTGATTTATTAGTTCCTAGTTTCCTTGGGATCTAAAATTGAACCTCTAGAGATATCCAAAAGCTGTAATATTTTCTTTCCTGTGTATCTCAAAGTGTGATGAGATAAACAAATTATGGTGAGGTTTTTTTAATCGTTTAATTATCTGTATTTATGAAGGAATGATGCTTTAAGTATACCTTGCTATTCCTGTGAAGGCAAATCAGGCTATACTACTGAAAACAACAAGAACAAAAAGGCCACAAACATTTGTTCATTTAAAAAAAAAAACTCAAATTTTGTGAAAAGATAAAATTTTCACATCAATTCTGAATAACTTACTTATGAGACCTTGGACAATACTGACACTCTTTTTTATGCCTCAGTTTCCTCAACTGTAAAATCAATGGAAAGGTGCATCTTTTACGTTTTTTGTGAGTATTGAATGAATTAATATATGTGAATGTTTCTATTAACTCTATGGTAATTAGTAAATGTTCAAAATATATTTGCTTTAAAATGTAAGAGCAATCAGACACATAAATAAAGCCAAACTCTTCCAAAAACATACCTAAAAAACAAATCTGCTTGTATCATAGTTTCAGACTCTGTCTTGGTGAATCTATATGAAAAGGGTATTGTGTTTTTATTCATGGCAAAGTCCAGTTTCTCATTAAATTCCAAACTAGAAAACAATTTTGAAATCTGGAGAGCATTATGACAAGTGAAATAATGCAAGCAGTGAAAGACAAATACCATGTGATCTCACCTATAAGTGGAACCTAATCAACAGAACAAAGAAGCAAGCAAAGTATAAATGGAGACACTGAAATAAAGAACCAACTTATAGTAACCAGAGGGGTGAGGAAGAGGGATAATACGGAATAGAAAGAGAAAGTGTAACAGGGTGCAGCCAAGAGGGGAGCCTCAAATAGGGATCTGTAATAAGATCCAGAAGAGCCTGGAGATAATTGGCTCCACACCACAGGGCCACACCTGCCCAGAACCTGGCAGCTGTGGCCAATTGTGAGAGGAGCTGGAAATGGGGCTTCAGAGGAAGATTGGCGCTGGGATTTAAACCTAGACACGGCAGCCATTTGAGGGGGAGAACTATGCGCAGCTCTGCAAGAGAGAACCACACAGCTTTAGCAGAGTGAAGACTCTCGTGACCGTGAGAGAGACAACCACATGGCTCTGGCAGAGTGGGGACTCCCATGGTCTGGGGAGAGAGGACCATGTGCCTTTGCCAGAGTAGGGACCCCCGCAGCTTTAGGAGATACGGTACTCTGGACTGGGCAAAGGGGGAAGGAAGAAAGGACTGTGTCTGTTTGTGGGTGCTTTAAGGGACTTTAGGATTTTTGGTGAAGACATTAGGTCCCTACTTTAAGTTTGTATAGCATTAAATAAACATTTCCTTTCCTTTTCACAAATCTCTGGCATTGAGAGACGTCTTTCCTCTGGCGGCGGACATAACGGACCTGGGGGCTCCTTTATATCTTCCCAGGCCCCCCTTGTTCATTCTGTAACAAAAGGTCATGAAAGCACATGAAAAGGACCCATAGACAAAGCCAAAGGGGGAAAGTAATGTCCTTGTGTTCACTACAGAGATCTGAACTTTCAAGGGATGGCTCCCTACCTGTTAAGCAAATTGGGTCCCAAAAGATTAACTGTCACATAATTGCTCATGCTTGTGAGACCTCATTGCATTTTTTTTGTTAGAAACTCTTTAAAGTGATGTAATACAAAGAAAATGTTCTAGAGGAGCCACCAAATACTACAAAACAAACAATACTTAAGTAATGTTAAGTATGATTGGTATTAGCAGAGTATGGACAGGTTTTGCTGCAGATCACTCAAAGGCGGCATGTACTGGAAGAAAATCAAGGTAGCTGAGGTAGAAAAAGGGTTTAGAGTAACAAACTTTGCATTCATTTGTTCCATTATTCTACTAGGAACAACTTCAGCTATATCTTTTTCTGTTAATGTCAGTACAGAAATTTTAGCATTGGGTGACAATCTTTGATTTAAATAAAACATTTAAAAACAAGTTATACAGAAAGGGTGCTGTTCTTAGAACAATTAAGTCTTCACTTAAGGTGAAAAGAATGGAAGCAAAACTACATCAGAGAAAAGATTAGAAAGTCTGAAGTTTTAAGTATTTCTATGCAAGAATAATTGCTTCAATTTTAATTGAAAGTAGACCACAAATCTGTTGTAGGTACATAAAAATACATTTTATTTATAGGACAATGTCTTCAAAATGATCCATAGCACTGATCATAATGCTGATAAAGCTAATATTACCAATGCTATATTAGTTCTCAATGACTGTGTCTTGGTCCTTACATGTATTTGCACCTAAATGTTTATACACCAGTTGATAGGATGAGAATTTTCCTTATTTTACAAGTATCTGCAGCTTTTTGTGCCACCCAACTGGGAGGAGCAAGCATCAACTTTGGGGCCAAACTCTTTGAAATCAATCATGTTCTTCACTAATCTTGGACACCACCAATGATGGGTTATTATTGTTTTAAAATCAGCCTCTTCATTCTAAGTCCAGATACAAAAACAACATGGAAACTACAGAAGGAAGGGTGAAAATACAAACATTTTATATTACTATACCTGGAGACAATGGGAAGAATGTTGATTTTGATACTTTG